AAAAGAGGGGTTGGGAGCCCCAAAAGTGAGAGCGAGAGGGGTTGGAACCCCCGGAATTATTGGGAGGGGGGTGGGAGCCCCAAACTGAGCGCGGGGGGGGCTGGGGATTGGGGGACAATGGGAAAGGGGTGGGAGAGGTGGGAAAAGGGGGGTGGGAGAGCAGGAAGAGCGGTGCCATGGGGGTCTCTCGGCGTCCCCCATCATTAAAGCCCTGAAGTGTTTTTCTGGGGCTCGAGGAGGGGGGAGGGTGGATCCGCCCTGGGGGCGGGGTGGTGTCTCTGACCCCCCTGTCCATCCCCGGGGGGCTGATGGGATGATTCCCCCCTAACCAAGAGCCGGTGCTGCGGGGGGCGTGGGGCAGAGGGGGGTGGAAAGGGGGAGTCCAGGGTGGCCCCCTGAGCTCTCAAAGTGGTGGCGGGGGCTGGGGGATGATGGGGGTGTGGGGAGGACACCCCCTGACCCGTGTCCTGCATACACAGGGGTGTTCCAGGAGTTGAGAAAGGCCGAGTGTCACTTAATCAACGGCACCGAGCGGCTGAGGCTCGTGGGGAGGCTCACCTACACCTGCCAGGTGAAGTACATCAGCCTGGAGCAACCCCTCAGCCGGCACTGGGGTATGACTTGGGCCTCCCAGCACCGGGGGGACACTGGCAGGGGGGCCAGGGGGCTGGGGGAGCACTGGGAACACTGGGAGGCACATTGGGGGGGCAATGGAGAGGCTGAGGAGGTTGGGGGGTCCTGGAAGGACTGAAAGGGGCTGTGGGGAGTCATGGGGGCGACTGGGAGGGAGTTTAGGGAAGCCTGGGTGGGATGGGAGGGAGACTGGGGAGGTATTGGGGTGACTGGGAGGGGGTTGGGGGGTCTCGGAAGGGACTAGGAAGGATTTAGGGGGTCCTGGGGGTGATGGGAGGGGGGTTGGAGGGTCCTAAAGGGGATGGGAGAGGCTTTGTGGGATCCCCGAGGGGCTGGGAAGGGACTGGTAGGAGGTTTCAGAGGATCCTGGGTGGGCTGGGGGAGACCAGGATGGGATTTTCGGGTGGTCCCAGGTGGTCTCTGGGAGGTTTTGGGGGTCCTGACCCCCCCGGCTCCC